TCCCTTACAGTTTGTTTCCCTTACAGTTTGTTTCCCTTACAGTTTGTTTCCCTTACAGTTTGTTTCCCTTACAGTTGTTTGTTTCCCTTACAGTTTGTCTCCCTTTTTCCCTCTCCTCCTTTTCCCCTCCAGTTTTTCCCCCTTTTTTTGTCCCCTCTTTTTTTTTTCTTTCCCTCTTGCTCTGGGCACTGTGTCAGGATGGGGACATGGATGAGGCATGGGGTGATGGGGTGATGCACAACAGTGGGGAACCATCAGGATCCCAACCTTGTTGTGCATTTAGCATCATGCTGAGGGTTGGGCAGGTCGTGGAAGGCTTTGGGGTGTGGGTTTGGGGGAACCTAGGCTGTCACACCAATGTTGTCACCCCAGGAGATGGGGGGTGGTGGTATTTCTGCACCTCTTGCCTGCTTAGTTTCCTACAAAGAAACAAAAAAAAACCAACCAAAAAACATTTTCCAGTCCAGTTTCATTGCCTCAGTTTTAAATATTTATTTTAAGTCCAAAAAAAAAAAAAAAAGAAAAAGAAAAGGAAAAAAAGCTTTAATGAGAACAAATGGTAACTGCAGCCTCAGGAAAACACATAAAACCAACGGCAAGGGATGAGAGATGGAGAGACCTGCAGTGTGGGGGGTGTGCAGGGAGGCAGTGAGTGATGGGTGATGGTGATTTTGGCCTGGGGGTGAGGTATTTCTGGCAGGGGGTTGCGTGGAGGGCGAGGTATTTGGGACAGATCCTGTTAACCTTTTCTGATGGTTGTTGGAAACCAACCAGCAGGCAGTAGTTAAAAAAAAAAAAAAGAATACACGAAGAGAGACTCACAGATAATTTTTTTTCCTCAAAAAAAATAAATTCCATAGTCCATATGAGACATGAAAACTCCAAACAGGCACTGAAGAGTTTCTGATACAGTACAGCTCTGATTACATCAATATTATTCCTTATATAGAATTAAAGATTACCATAATTATCCTCTTTAAAAAAAAAAAAATCCTCCAAATTTACATATAGAGACTAAATTTCTACAAAACTTAACAAAACAAAACCCCTCCAAGCTTGGCTGGGTTCTGAAACAAGGTACCATCAAGTCAGTCTTGACAGAGGGGCCGAGGGAAGGGTTGCAGAGCTGGGTTTAAATATGAACTTAGCCCAGGGAGTCGCAGCTGGCATGGACATGGGGCCAGTGCAGCTACAGCCCAACTAGTTACACGACAACTGACTCAAAAATAGCTCTCTGAGGCTCAACACTTCCAGATGAGCTGTGTCCCTCACTCCCCTCCCAAAGCCGTGAAGTGCTGATGAACGAAAAAAAAAAAAAGGCAAATTTGCTTGTAAAATATCCTGTAGGTGATTTTGGATGCAGTGGGAGTTGTTACATGTGAATGATATCCACAGCCACTAAAGGATCCCTTTTAAGGTGATTTGTTTCTCTGATTTAGCTGTGGACTGTAAGCTCCTCTCTTCCCAGAGAGAGGTGATCCTATGGGGCTTTTTGTTTTTGGGTCTGTGGCAAGACACTGTAGCACCTTCACAACCTTAAATAGTTTAAAGTCATATATATATAAAATAACACACTTTTTTAAGAGCACCAGAGATTTCACAGTGAGAGGTAGAAACAAATCAGACGAGCCCATTCCCTCTCTCTATTTTAGCACCAATCTCTTCCCCTCTCCTCCTTCCAGTCCCCACTCTTGGCTTCAAGGACTCTCCCCCTACCCCAACACCACACGTGAGAGGGGATGTTGGTCAAACTCACAGAAGGAGGAGGAACTTAGCTTTTTTTTTTTTTTCCTTTTTCTTTTTGCTTTAAATAATATAATATATTTATTTTGTTTCTTCTAATATTGCACATCAAAATGCTTCCTTGTACACAGAGCAGCCCAGATTCAACTTGCAGCTCCGCCTGGGAGACCTGATGCAGCACGTGGCCGTCCAGAAGGTGACAAGCTCTGAGAGGGAAGCTCTATTTTTTTTTTTTTTTTTAATTATTTTTTTCAATCGAAAGAACATTTGGTAACTCAGGAACCAGACAAAATGGGTGGTGGTGGTGAGGGAGAAACAACAACAAAAAAAAACCCCACACGCTCCAAGTCGCTTGAGGTTTCTCTCAATGTTTTCTTTGGTCATGGGAAAAGCTTTGTGTGTGGAACCGCAACATCCAGTCCCCTGATCCCTTTTCACTGGTCACGTCCTTGTTCTTCCTCCTTTCAACACCCGGCTGAGTTCAGCAGATCACGGGTTCTTTGAGACCTTGAGCCAAAGGCTTAGAGCAAGAGTTGACCCAAAAGATACAGCCCAGCTGCCCTTGCTGCAGAGAGGTGGGAGAGCCTGTGTAAGGACAGGCCAACCGTGGGGTCGGAGCCTCGGAGCCCGGTTTCCATAGCTTGGTTCAAAGGAAGCAGACGGGGCCGACCTCGAGGTGATATTGCTTTCCTGGCTCGGATGGGGGGAGGTTGTAGATGTTGACAATTGGCAGCTGCTGAGGGTCCTGTGTCCGAAACGAAAAGAGAGTCCGATGCCAGCGTCCATCCTTGATCTGTGCAGGGAGGGGGGACAGAGAAAAAGGTGATGAGCTGGGTGGTGAACCTTGCTGGACAGGAACATGTTTCACGAGACAAGGGGCTGTTCTTTGGGCTGAACAGATCTGGGGTGGGGTTTAGAGAGCATTTTGGGGAATCCTTTACCAGGTTGATGAAAATACAATTTGGATGGTAGCACCAACACAAACTCCTAGTTCAGTGAGCCCAGATGCAGCCCTGTGGCTCTCAACTCTGCATGGCATCAGGCAAGAGCCACGTCCACCACCCACGGGTGGCCATTCCCCTTCTGCCATTTAATTGCTGCTGCATCTCATATGTAACTTTGGAATTTAGCTTTTTGCTTTCTGTCTGAAGGCCATCTACTTCACAGGAGCTGCTACTGCATCCCAGACTGGAAAATTAATGGTGAACAGGTAAACTTGACCCTTCTCCCCTTTCTCTGTAGAATGAGCAGCACAGGTGTAACTCGAGCCTTGTTGTGAGCCCTGAGTGGGCTCAGCCTGGCATTTCTCTCCACCTCTTCCCTCTTCAGGAGCAACATACCTTGCAATCATCAGCTGCCACTTCTGGCCTGAGCTGCCCCCCTGCCTCAAACATCTGCCCGTTCCAGGCCTTGAAGCGCACGGCTTTGTCCGAGGGTTTCTCGGAGGAGCCTTCCCGCCAGACGGAGGTGTTCAGGCAGTGGATGGTGATGTGCTGCACCACCTCGGAGCTCAGCAGGCGCAGGAAGTTCATCTGGACTCTACCGATGTCAAAATCCAGCTGTGAAGGTGACAGAGAGGTCAGGGGTGCCCTGCAGAGGGGCTGGGGGGGAGCTGGATCTGGCACGAGTATGGGCGTAAGGGCCAGATGCCAAATCAGTTTGGAAAGTTTTCGTGGGGACACAGCTGGTCCTCTAGTTTGCAGAATAAAACTGAAAAGTCCTTAAGTAGAAGGAAAACTATGTAAAGTTTGACTTCAATACACTTCTGCAAAGCAGCAGGTGCCAGTTCATCTGCAAATGAACCCAGATATTGATATTTGTATCTTTGGTGCAGGTGCTTCCTCAAGAAAACCCTGTAGCACTAACTTAACTGGAAACTTGTATGTTTAAGCTGACCTCACTTTTTCAGGTGGCAGAAAGCAAAATGCAAGAGTGACCTGAACATAAATTAATTCAACAAAGGATTTGGGAGCAGCGTGTTTGCAAAATTGCTGGTCTTGTGAAGGTTATGGGTTCATTAAACATTGGTGGAACTTATAGTTCTGTTTTGACAGAAGTCAGTAAGAGTCTTGGGTGTATTTTTTTTAACACATCAGAGCAATTCTCAGTGTTACAGCTGCACTAACTCTGCCTTGAGGAGAAACCTGTGTGCTGTGTCATTGTGGTCACCGTCCGGTGTCCCAGGACAACACACCCTTGCATAA